GATCTGTTAATTCCTCGGTTTGAGAAGCTAAATTTCACCCACCTCGTAAGAGAGAACAACAGGTTTGCAGATTCACTAGCAACTCTATCTTCTATGATAGACATCCCGTCCGGAGTCCGGATGCGTCCAGTCATTATCGATCAGAAGTTCGCGCCAGCGTACGAGTCGATTTCCGCCATAGATGAGGTTCAAGACGGTAACCCCTAGTATTACGACATCTGGAACTTCTTGGAAAAGGAGACATATCCACTAGGGGCGAATGCCAAGGATAAGAGGGCTGTCAGAAGAATGGCTGCTCAGTTTGTCATCTGCGGAGGAAAGTTGTACAAAAGGGGCCATCTGGGAAGAAAAATTAGAAGTTCTTTTTGGATGTTTTGTAAAGACTCATATGAGGATTTAAGTTTTCTTTTGGGGATGTAATGTACTGGAACCATCTTTTGAATTATATACATATTGTGGTTGTTATGTACTTCCATTCTATTATCTATGTGTACACACCTTATCGTTGCTTATGAGGCCTTGTGTCAATACCGGTTAAGATCTGTCAAAAAGGTAGTGCGCTGCCTAAGAAAGCTGGACGTAGAAGGGAGGCTCATTTGACTCCTTCGGCGATCTGGGATCTTACTGGTTATTGACCATAGGACTCGTTAGTGACTCTCCCTTAACTGCAACCAATAGTGTAGAATCGGGGCGTCACAATATGGTATCAGAGCCTAGGTTCAACCCTTACCCACGCGTTTCGACCTGCGATTAGAGACTAGCTTGCACTGACTATGTTAGAATCTTTCTTGATCTATCTTAGGGAATTTCTTCGAATTTCGGGCACACCAACATCAACTCATGAGGACCTACTTCAGGAACGTGAAATGGTTTTAACTTTGAGTGCGGCCTCACATCGCGCAGTAGGGGGTACTATTAGTTCTACGCGTCTTCTATCGATTGTCGTATCTTCATCTTGTATTCGTAACCTTCATTCAATATCATCCTTTCCAAGATTAAGTCTTGTCCATCTGGTCCTGTTTTATATACTACTATTTGTAAATTCGACCTCCTTTGACCCTTGATTATTTTATTAAGCCCAAGACTTCTTGTAAATAATTTCATTTCTTTACTCGGTGACGAATCTTGGATATTCAGTTTGAAACGCGGATGGCCAACGCAGTTTCAAGTTAAATATCTAGTTTAGTCACTACATCTGTAACCTTGATCACATTGAAGTTTGAAATCCATATTCTATTAATCCTGATGTTATCACCATAACTACTTCGTATTCTTCGTCTCCACTTCAATCCAATTTTGAGAATCTTGTAATTATTATTTCGTATTCATGAAGTTGTGCTGTGTGATCACCCTAGGATAATTAAACTCTAACTTAAGATTAGTTGCTTACACATAAGGAATTGCCTCTGTAGTTAGAATTTGACTTACGCTTCACCCCATTCAAAGAACAACAAATGGTGGACCATACTTCGAGACAAGTAATAACATGAGATTGCAAGCAACAATAGAAATGCGGTACCAGGAAATTGAATCCTTAAGAATGGACTAGTAACCGTGGCTAAAATCCCAAACCCTATCAAGAATCAAATTTTGGAGGAGTCTTACCATCTTTGTGGAAATAATCAGCACAACATTAACTTCAGAATGAAAGAAGATAAAATCCAAGAGGATTTAGAGCTTGTGGAAAGAAAACCCAACTTCATAAGGGACCAGAAAGGAATAACCAGAAGGCAACCGGCAGAATCTTTGCCTTGAAAGAGGAAGAAGCGGACCCATCTGTAATCGAGGGTAATTTAGTACTATACAATTCTTGGGTGCATGTTTTATTTGATACCGGTGCATCACTTCTTTTATATCCTCTGCTTGTGCTAAATCATTAGAACTGGTAGGAGAACCCTTAGAAACCCACTGAGCGGTGATCGACTGCCGTCAGAGGAAAGTGGTAGCTCACACGCATGACGGAACACGTTTCTAGTTTAAGGGGGATAGACAAGACCCCATGGCTTCAACAAAATGTAGGACGCAGTGGCGCAATCAACTTGCGGGTAGGATAGCAAGTCTGATTCTAAATGAGGAGGGCCAAGGAGAAAGAGAACTTCCACGCGTAGTATGCGAATATGCAGATGTATTTCCAACGGAGTTACTAGGATTGCCACCAACCCGAGAGGTCGATTTTAATTTTCCAGTTTAAGGGGGATAGACAAGACCCCATGGTTTCAACAAAGCATCGGACGCAGTGGCGCGACCAACTTGCGGGTAGGATAGCAAGCCTAATTCTAAATGAGGAAGGCCAAGGAGAAATAGAGCTTCCGCGCGTAGTGTGCGATTATGTAGATGTATTTCCTACGGAATTACCAGGATTGCCGCCAACCCGAGAAGTAGACTTTAGCATCGAGCTGCAACCTGGAACTACCCCAATATCCATGGCTTCGTATCGCATGGCACCAGCAGAACTGCGAGAATTGAAGACACAACTACAGGAATTGCTCGAAAAAGGATTCGTTAGGCCAAATACTTCGCCATGGGGAGCACCCGTGTTGTTTGCTAAAAAGAAAGATGGGTCGTTGAGGCTATGCATCGATTATCGTCAACTCAATCGAGTCACGATTAAAAACCGATACCCACTCCCGAGGATTGATGACCTTTTTGACCAACTTAGAGGCTCAAGGTGCTATTCAAGGATCGATCTCAGGTCGGGTTACCATCAACTACGAGTCAAGGAGGAGGATATACCAAAGACTGTCTTTCGTACTAGATATGGCCACTATGAGTTTGTACTAATGCCCTTCGGACTAACCAATGCACCGGCAGTATTTATGAGCCTAATGAATAAGTTTTTAGACCATACCTCGACCAGTTTGTAGTAGTATTCATTGATGAAATCTTGGTATATTCAAGGTCTGAAGAAGAGCATGAGCAACATTTAAGGACTGTCCTTCAAGTTCTTAGGGATAATCGGTTATATGCCAAGGCGAGTAAATGTGAGTTATGGTTGAATGAAGTAAAGTTCTTAGGGCATGTGGTATCAGAGAATGGGATTGCGGTGGATCCGACCAAGGTGGAGGCAGTATTAGATTGGAGGCAACCGAAGACCGTGTCAGAAATCCGCAGCTTCTTAGGATTGGCCGGTTATTACCGGAGATTCATCCAAGATTTCTCCAAACTAGCTAAACCAATGACTCGTCTGACACAACACAACTACAGGAATTGCTTGAGAGAGGATTCATTAAGCCAAGTACTTCGCCATGGGGAGCACCCGTGTTGTTTGCTAAAAAGAAAGATGGGTCGTTGAGGCTATGTATCGATTATCGTCAACTCAATCGAGTCACGATTAAAAACCGATACCCACTCCCGAGGATTGATGACCTTTTTGACCAACTTAGAGGCTCAAGGTGCTATTCAAAGATCGATCTCAGGTCGGGTTACCATCAACTACGAGTCAAGGAGGAGGATATACCAAAGACTGCCTTTCGTACTAGATATGGCCACTATGAGTTTGTACTAATGCCCTTCGGACTAACCAATGCACCGACAGTATTTATGAGCCTAATGAATAAGATTTTTAGACCATACCTCGACCAGTTTGTAGTAGTATTCATTGATGAAATCTTGGTATATTCAAGGTCTGAAGAAGAGCATGAGCAACATTTAAGGACTGTCCTTCAAGTTCTTAGGGATAATCGGTTATATGCCAAGGCGAGTAAATGTGAGTTATGGTTGAATGAAGTAAAGTTCTTAGGGCATGTGGTATCAGAGAATGGGATTGCGGTGGATCCGACCAAGGTGGAGGCAGTATTAGATTGGAGGCAACCGAAGACCGTGTCAGAAATTCGCAGCTTCTTAGGATTGGCCGGTTATTATCGGAGATTCATCCAAGATTTCTCCAAACTAGCTAAACCAATGACTCGTTTGACACAAAAAGGGAGTAAAGTACGAGTGGGACGAAGCTTGCGAAAAAATCCTTCCAAGAGTTGAAGAAGAGGTTAACTAGTGCGCCAATTTTGACCATTCCAGAACGAGAAGAGGGGTATACTGTGTATTGTGATGCATCTAAAGAAGGGTTGGGTTGCGTACTCATGCAAAATGGAAAGGTGGTCGCATATGGATCTAGGCAAGTTGAAACCACATGAACGCAACTACCCCACACATGACTTGGAGTTAACAGCCGTAGTTTTTGCCCTAAAGCAATGGCGACATTACCTGTATGGGGAACAATTTGAGATTTTCACAGATCACAAGAGCCTGAAGTATTTATTCACGCAGAAGGACCTTAACTTGAGACAGAGGCGATGGATGGAGTATCTTGAGGATTTCCAGTTCACCCTCTCATATCACCCCGGTAAAGCCAATGTAGTAGCAGATGCCCTAAGTCGTAAGAGCAGAGGGATGATGGCTAAGATCTCTGTCAAGGAATGGGATATGGTTAAGACACTCAGTGAGTTCAGGATCCAAGTAGAATCTCAAGATACGAAAGCATATCTTAGTGCACTGAAGGTGAGGCCTAAGTTGATGAATGAGGTCATGGAGGCCCAGAAACACGATCAAGAGGTAGCCTACATCAAGGGACGTCTGGAATCAGGAAAGCCCATGCCTGATTGGGTAATTCACCCCGATGGGAGTTTAAGATACCAAGGTAGATTGTTTGTACCTAGTGACGAGTTACTTAGGGAAAAGGTACTGAAGGAATGTCATCATTCTGCATTTGCGGTACATCCAGGAGGAACAAAAAAAGCAACAAGATTTGAAGAGGCAATATTGGTGGAATGGGATGAAGAGAGAAGTGGCCAAATTTGTAGCAAGATGTCTGACATGCCAACAAGTGAAGGCGGAACATCAGAAACTAGGAGGAAAGTTGCAACCTCTACCGATAGCTGAATGGAAGTGGGAGTATGTGACGATGGATTTTGTGACAGGGTTGCCTAAGTCACCTAGAGGGCGCGACGCTATATGGGTAATAGTGGACCGTCTTACCAAGCCAGCACAATTTCTTACCCTATAAGATGATCGACACCTTAGAGTCTATGTGCAGACTTTACATTGGGGAAATCATTCGACTACATGGAATTCCGGTCTCTATTGTGTCAGATCGTGATCCACGATTCATCTCTCGATTTTGGGGAAGCCTGCAGGAAGCTCTTGGTACGGAGTTATGTTTTAGCATCGTCTTTCACCCGCAGACAGATGGACAATCTGAACGCACTATCCAGACGCTCGAGGATATGCTGAGAGCTTGCGCCATGGATTTTCAAGGAAGTTGGGAACAACACCTACCCCTAATTGAATTCGCCTACAATAATAGCTTTCAAGCTAGCATCGGTGCGGCACCCTTTGAAGCATTATACGGACGACCTTATAGATCGCCGATTTGTTGGACGGAAGTGGGTGACGCAAATCTGATAGGACCCGAACTTGTTCTAGAAACTACTGAGAAGGTCAAATTGATCCGACAATGGTTGAAGACTGCCCAGGACCGTCAGAAGAATTTTGCAGACAGGGGGAGGAGACGGTTGATGTTTGAAGTAGGCAGCCACGTGTTCCTAAAGGTGCAACCCAGGCGTGGAGTCGTACGTTTTGGAAGAAAGGGAAAGCTGTCACCACGATATATTGGATCTTTCGAGGTATTGGAAGGAGTGGGCGATGTAGCATATAGACTAGCCCTACCCCCGCAGTTAGCAGGAATCCACAACGTCTTCTATGTGTCTATGTTGAGAAAATACATCGCTGACCCGTCACACGTCCTCAAATGGGAAGATATCAGCCTTGACAAGGATGTTACATTTAAAGAAGGACCGGTAGCAATACAGGACAGTCGAGAGAAGAACCTCAGAGACAAGACGGTTCATTTGGTGAAAGTGCTATGGCGTCACTGGGGAATTGAAGAATCTACTTGGGAGCGCCAGGATTTGGTAAAGGCAAATTACCCCGAGCTTTTCGAAGGCAATATGTAGCTGAATTTCGAGGACGAAATTGTTTTAAGGGGGATAGGTTGTAAGGCCGCTAAAATATGTATTTACTTTTAAGACCCTAATGATGAATTATTTTCTTAAAGCCCTCGTTTACTTGAATTAATTCGAATCTTGTCGATTAGCAATTACTATTTTTTTTTTTTTTTATTTTATCAAAACAGAAATTCCCTAACCTAATTTAATTCTACCTAGGTAATATGTATTTAACTTCAAGCCCTCATTTCTTTTTTTAAACTTGCCCCAAAATAGTACTTGCATCTTGTACCTTGGTATACCATCAATCTTGTAATAAATATATATATATATATATACACCTTGAGGAGTGTGTCCTAGAGCCTAAAATTAATAAATAAATAAAAAAATAGCCCCTTCTAGGAGAAAGTGAGGAAACCATTTTTCAAAGCACACATCATCATGAAATTCTAGGAAAAAACAACCTAGTGACCTAGACCTAGGATGCAAAATCCAAGATATAGTTTTATTACAACTAGAGGTGGCCTAAACCAATGGAACACACCCCCTAAGTCCCTTCCATTCCTTTAGAATTCAAGCAAAATCTTAACTTTCCATCCAATTCCAACTAAAGGGCTTTTATGTCCTTTTTCACCAAAATTTGCCTATATATACCACACCCTCCCTAGCTTGCAAACATACACACAACACACTCACTCACACACACATTTTGGTTAGAGAGAGGGAGGAGAGCAAGGAAGAGGAGTCTAGAGGAGGAGAGGGAAGAAGAAGAGAGTTTCTTGTGCAAAGCTAGAAGGTAAGCCACCAACACAACCTTCTCTTCATTTTCTTTTCTAATGCATGTTCTTTTTTTAAGATTTTAAGTGAGTTTGAGGCCGCATTTACTAGCTTATCGAGGTTTGCTCCTGAGTTAGTGGCGTCTGAGGAACGCCGTTGTCTCGAATTTGAGAAGAAGTTGAAGCCCGGACTCAAGCTTAGAGTTGCAGGGTCCATGACACGGGAGTATGGGCGTCTTGTGGATGCTACAGCCCATCTTGAGATTATTATGTAGGAGGAGGAGGAGAGGATAAGGGGCTCTAAGAGGACTCAAGATGGCCAGGGGGACGGTAAAAGGCAGAGGGGTTCTAACCCTCAGCAGTCCCAGGGTGCTTTTATGAGATCTACCTTTCCAGTGCCGAGTTCAAGCTCTGGGAGAGGCAGTCAAGGAGACTTTACTTGTTACAAGTGTGGTCAGCTGGGCCACAAGTCTCCAGCTTGCCCGCTGAGAGGAGGAGGGCAGAGAACAGCTTCATCTTCAGCTCGTCCTCAGAACCAAAGTTAGGGTAGAGGCCAGCCGCTCTCTTGTTACCAATGTGGTCAAGCGGGGCACCTGAAGAGGTTTTGCCCGCAGTTGAGTGGCACATCTGGTGCAGCTAGTTCGAGGCAGACTTAGAGCCATCAGCCAGCTCAATCAGTTTAGGCCTCGAAGGCCAATCAAGGAGCCTCGTCGTCTCAATCGGTGTAGTAGTCTTATACTCCGAGCAGTGAGCAGGCAGATCAGAGACCTTCAGGGCTTGTGTATGATGTTACTGCGTAGGACCTTGTACCGGCTCCATCTGTTGTGAGAGGTACCTTTTTGTTTTACAACTCGGTTGCTAATGTGTTGATTGATACTGGTGCATCCTATTTTTTTATATCTGCTGCATTTGCATCTATTTTGGGGTTGGAGTTGGCGTAGTTAGCATCTCTTGTTTGTGTTGTATCACCAGTTGGGGGTGAATTGATTTTGAAGCAGGGGTGTAAAGGTTGTGATATTGAGGTCGCCGACCGCCGGCTTCCATTTTCTTTTGTAGTTATGGTTATGTCGGGTTTTGATGTGATTGGGGTATGGACTGGTTATCGTCATACCGAGCTGTTATTGATTGCTACCGCCAGAGGGTCACTGTGTGTACTTTGAGCGGGGATTGTTTCCATTTCTTGGGGGATCGGGTTGGTAGAGTTTTGCACCAGTGTATGATCCGCGAGGGCAGAGTGAGCTAAGTTGTCTTCTCACTGGCTATATGATTAGTGAGTGTGATGAGATCCAGATTGAGTTACCCATAGTGGTTTATGAGTATTCGGATGTTTTTCCCGAGGATCTTGTTAGTTTGCCACCCCATCGAGATGTGGAGTTTTCTATTGATTTAGTGCCCGGCACGACGCCGATTTCCATGGCACCATATCGTTTTGTCCCAGCCGAGTTGAGTGAGTTGAAGATTCAACTCCAAGAGTTACTAGATAAGGGCTTTATCTGCCCTAGTACTTCACCGTGGGGAGCACCGGCCCCCTTTGCTAAAAAGAAAGATGGGGCTTTGAGACTTTGTATTGATTACCGAAAATTGAATCGTGCTATGATTAAGAACAAGTACCCTATGCCTCGTATAGATAATCTATTTGACCAGTTGAAAGGGTCCTGTTGTTTCTCTAAGATAGACTTGAGATCGGGTTACCATCAGTTAAGGGTCAGGGAGGAGGATATCCCGATGACGGCATTCCGTACGCGGTATGGCCATTATGAGTTTCTGGTGATGCCTTTTGGCTTACCAATGCACCGGCAGTGTTTATGGACTTGATGAACTGGATCTTCTGGGAATTCTTTGATCGTTTTGTGGTTGTCTTCGTGGACGACATTCTGATTTATTCGCCTTCGGAGGAGGAGCACGAGGAACACTTGAGAGTGGTGCTTGAGTTGCTTAGAGCCCATAAGCTGTATGCTAAGTTTGGGAAGTGTGAGTTCTGGCTAAGAGATGTTAAGTTCTTAGGCGATGTAGTCTCCGGGGAAGGGGTGTCTGTTGATACATCCAAGATAGAGGCAGTGCAAGATTGGGCGCAGCCTAAGAGTGTTTTTGAGATCCGTAGTTTTTTAGGATTAGCTGGGTATTACCGCCGATTTGTGAAAGATTTCTCCAAGCTAGCTTCACCATTGACTAGATTGACGCGGAAAGGGGTCAAATTTGTATGGAGTGAGACTTGTGAAAAGTCGTTCCAAGAGCTGAAAGTTAGACTTACCACCGCTCCGGTTTTGATTATTCCGGAGAGAGGTTTGAGTTATGCGGTTTATTGTGATGCTTCACAAGAGGGTTTGGGTTGTGTGCTGATGCAAGAGGGGAAAGTGGTACTTTATGGTGAGAGGTTCGAGGTGTTCTTAGACCATAAGAGTCTGAAATATCTGTTTACACAGAAATACTTGAACTTGAGGCAGATGAGGTGGATGGAGTTTATTGAGGATTATGACTTTGAGTTGCATTATCATCCGGGGAAGGCCAATGTTGTGGCCGATGCTCTTAGTAGGGAATCCATTAGTGATGTAGCTTGTATAGCCATCCGGAAGTGGGAAATGTTGGGTGCACTTAGCGAGTTTGATTTGTTTCTGGGCGAATCTGTTGAGTCTGTGGCCTTGTTTTCAGTAGTTGCGCAGCCTACACTTGTGAATCGAGTGTTAGAGGCACAGAGGAGTGACCATGAGGTAGAGTCCCTCCGGGAGAAGATCTCCAGTGGGAAGGTTGACAAAAGTTTGACTGTGTATCCCGACCAGAGTGTGAGGTACCGAGACCGTTTGTTTGTGCCGGAGTCTTGCCGAGAGGAGGTACTCTGAGATTTTCACCATTCACGCCTTGCGGTGCATCCAGGAGGCACTAAGATGTATCGTGATTTGGGTCACCAGTTTTGGTGGCAGTGTATGAAGAAGGATGTGGCAGTTTTCGTATCTAAGTGCCTTACTTGTCAGCAAGTGAAGGCCGAACATCAGAGGCCAGCGGGTTTGTTACAACCCTTGCCTATAGTCGAGTGGAAGTGGGAGCATGTCACGATGGACTTCGTTGTAGGTCTTCCGAGGACTCAACGGGGTAGTGATGCTATTTGGGTGGTTGTAGACCGGTTAACTAAGTCAGCGCACTTTATTCCTATGCACGTGAGAGATTCGGTAGATCATCTTATGTCTATGCATGTCAAGAATGTGGGTTTATATGTACTATTTTGAGGGCGTTACAATTCAAACCATGGAAAATTGGGCCAAAAGAAAATAAGCAAACAGAAGTACAATTTGATTACAGGATCATTATATGATTACTGAGTCACAAAGATGATTGAATATATCAAGAGATGATTATAGTAGTCAATCAAATGAATTTGACTATTACAAACATGAACAAGCCTTGGTTAACAAGAAGTCGAGGATTTCCTGACTTTATTACGGGAATCCAAGACTCAAATTTCTAGAATTTGTAGCGCAAAAAAGGATAAGAAGGAGATCTGAATAAAAAGGATGGAAGATTCAATTTCTTGAAGCAGTTGAGAAATATAATGGAATGAAATCATATATGACAAATCCAAGAGAAGAGGGAGAGAGACCGAGGCAACAAGAAGTGAAGAATTACAATATCTCTGTATTTTTCAATCACTCCCCTTTGATTTGTGCATACAAATACTCCGAGGGGCAGATCAAGGTTAGGTATGGTCTGAGCCGGGTTGGGGTCGGTTAGGGTTCGAAGCAGACTCGCATGTCAATCCAATCCCAAACCTGCATTATGCATACACAAGCTATTTATAAAGCTATATATATATAATATTCACACACATAGAAGTAACTCCATATTCGATGAAAGTGTGAATAATCACAAGCAATGAAGCAAGAAGTCGAGGTTCCAATCAAACAATGAAATAATTATATATGTCATGTATGGAAAAGAGGTCACCAGCATAAAGCTTTCCGCATTCTGACAAAGACATAAAATAGAGAAAAGAGCACAACTACAAGAAATCTTGCAAATTTGTTCCATACATATATATATATACATAAAATATTTTTAAAAATAAAATAAAATATTTCAAACATAAAAATAAAAAAATATTTAAAATAAAAATTATATTTTTAAAATAAAAAATAATTTTTTTTAAATTGTAAATATTTAAAATATTTTAAAAAAATACAACACACAAATGTAGTAATACAACACACATTAAAAAAATAAATAAATATTTACAATAAAAAA